GGCAAACGACTAGAAACAACTGTCTGGAGGAGGTCGGTGGCTGGAGGCAGGTGGCTGCAGGTGTTGTCTGGAGGTGGTGGGATGTTGCGATATCCTGCGGTACGGATCGGTTCGATCGGTTCGGTACGCGGCCACAGAATCAGCGATACAAACGGTTCGGTTAGCGATGCTCCGCGGTATGCGGTAAAAGTATTGTTGAAACAGCCATGTTTATCCAAGTTGCAGAGCTTTGGCCAAACTAGTTAGTGCTGTCTGTCATCTATATGATATCTTGGAAACAATGACAAGCGCTCCATCAGACCATTGTAGACTTCCATTTGGAAGCCTTACGATTATGGGACGCCGTTTCAAGCCTTCTAGAACTTTTTGGAAACTCCGTCACAGCCCTTGCAGAATCGTTCACAAGATTGCATGTTTAGCACTGTTAGACCCCTTTGAAAGCCTTATCGAGTCCCCTGCGTCGACAATTTGACCGTAAACCCCCAAACCTTGAGCCTTTATAACCCTTATGGAGTCCTGGTGGAATCCTCGAAGAACTCGGTTGGAACCCTTCTGGGGACCTGACAGAACCCTAAACCGTAAACCCGACTCCTATATAGGGAGGGTTCCTATCCTGTAGAACCCTACACAGTGCTCTGCAGGCTAACGGTGGAGGTGGGCGATCGGCACCGCGTGAGCGAAAAGCCTACTCGATGCAGGCGCCTCTTTGGAGTTTAGGGTTTAGGGTCTAGGATTTTGGGACTTAGGCTTTTTTAGGATTCCATACTTTGCGCCACGGCCCCTTCCTCTTCCACTCGAGGGACACATTGGTGGAGCCAAATCGACTTGAAGCTTGGCTCCTGCTGGGATTTTGCGAGAGAAGCTGTGATGAAATCCATGCTCTTTCGGAGGGGTGCCTTCAATTCGAGAGCGTGCCACAGAGAAGCAGTCGAAATCTGTTACAGAGTCCGATAAGCGAGCGGTTGTTCTCAGTACACCACGGAAGCAGGAACTACAAGCAGCATTCCAGTCAGGACCACGGCCAAGTCATGCCAGACGAAGTGAACCCTACAACGGTTTAAGGTTATTATAATACCATGTAGGGGTTCATAGTATAAGGGTGTAGGAAGAGCGCGCACGAACATCAACCAAAGGGCGGGTGCCGGCCACTTCAGCAGAAGCCTGCCCTACCGCAGGACAGATTCACAAGGCTAGGGCCGACATCTACAAGCTCCCCCCTGATCATTCCGGGATGGATGAAAGACGACCTTTCGAGCTTGCAAGCAGGATCAGCATGCAAAGGGCGGAGCAAGATGCCACAGCCTTCAGGGCCCCCTAAACCCTAAACCCCTAACTGCCCTAACTCCCTAAACCCCCTAAATCAACCCCCTAAATTCCTAAACCAAGAATCCCGCCTGCTAACCAGGATAAGGTTCTAAGGTTTAGGTTCGGAGCGCTCCCAAGTTTAGGGTGTAGGATTTAGGGTGGTAGAGGCTTAGGAGAGACTGTGAGATGCCATTCCTACTAGGGATTCAGGGGTTTAGGATGCTTCACGGTTTAGGGTTTAGCTGATGCCGCGTACTACAGCACATTCTTATCTTAGTCCTCGCTGCCCCAGACCCTAACGGCCAACGACCACCCGGGCGAAAGGCAAGCAAGGTTTAGGGTTCATGTCTATGTAGGGTTTAGGTCAAGTGTATTCTGATGGAGGATGAGCATGTCATCACGGCGGACAGAACTGAGAAGGCTGTAGCCTCCTTGATACTTGCATGTGGTGGTTGCCGGCCAGGCAACCTTCCAAAGCTAGGAGATGTGTGGGTGGGAGTGTGAGTTTAAGAAAAACTTGCTGGGCTTAAGCCCTAAAAAGGTACCAATGAGCGCGAAGCCCCTAATCCAACGCCCAACCCCTAAAGCCTTAACCTCAACCACTGCCTATATAAATCCTAAACCCGGAACCCACCAATTTGCATACTCTCGGACACAACCTGTCCTTCCAAAACCTGTTGTTATCCGCATGCTCCGCACCCACAACACTCGGCCAGCAACACTAATACTAACACCAGCAAACTAAGTCAACTACCTATCCCTCTCTCCATCTAGCTACCTATCTATCAACCTATCTGTCTAATGATGTAGATCGTACACAAAGGTCTCTCCCCCCTCCGCCCCTTCAGTGAGGCAGCCTTGGAAATCTCGGCATTGCCTGTACTCCCCCTGAACCACGCCAGGGCCCTGCTGTACAGGGGTTTCGCGGTAAGGGTTTGGGTTTCGCGGTCGGGGTTTGGGTTTAGGGGTCTACGGTTTAGGGGTTTCGGGGTTTGGGTTTAGGGTTCAGGGTTTAGGGTTTAGGGTCCGGGTTTCGGGGCTAGGGCTTAGGCTTTAGGCTTTAGGCTTTAGGGGTTAGGGTCTTGGGGTTTAGGGTTTAGGGTTCCGCAAGGAGGTTGTTTGAAGGTGTTCTTATAGGGTGTTCCACAGGTTTTTACAGGGCGTTTCGGGTTTAGCATGAGGGGTTCATGAGTGTCGGGTTCACGTCTTGTGATCAGGGATTGAGGTTTAATGCATCGAAAGGGTGACAAGGGGGGTTCACTTTGGGCCGGGATGTCTCAAGACAGCCCAAGCGAGGCAGGGCCATTCTAGTTCTAGGCAACCTAAGCCCTGCACCCCAACCTGGGTTTAGGGTTTAGGGTTTAGGGTTTAAGGTTTAGGGTTTAGGGTTTAGGGTTTAGGGTTTAGGGTTTAGGGTGTTCGAGCCCCACACCCGGCACTGAACCCTGAACATCAAACCCCGAAGCCCCGAACCAGGATGAATCCCTGGACCAAGTCAAGCATCTACCGTTCGTAACGATTTCTATCGGCAAATGGAAATGAGGGGCCCAGAGCAGTACTGTAACGTTTTGGCTACGTACTGGTAAATCTGAGAAGCCTCAGCATCTCTAAATCCGTAAACCCGTAATCCGATCGACCCTGAGCCCGTTAATACGCGCAAAGTCCCAAGCCCTAACACTTGGGCCCTAGTCCTAAATCGCTAAACCCTAAAGCCATAAAAGGGCCCTTATAGAACTTTAGAGCATCCTTGCAACTTCCTTACAGCGCTGAGCAAGGCCTTATCCGGATGGAGTTCAAGCTGGAATCTGAGAACCCTAAAGCCCGAAAGCTTATTGTCGCACATCAGAATCAGGAGCCCATTTGCTTGAAGGATTTTGGGAGCTCACAACCCTAAACCCCGATCCCCAGACCCCTAAACCCCTAAACCCAAGCATGGTTTAGGGTTCAGGGTTTAGGGTCCCTAAACCCCCAAACCCAAACCAGAGATACTATAGGCGCACGCGCAGAGATTCCGGGAGATGCGCCTGGACGCGCAGACGCAGCAGGCCCGCATCAACACACCCGTGGTGTTAAGGGATCCTTAAGGGTTCCCTTTTAAGGGTTCCGTTAGGGGTTCCTTTAAGGGTTCCTTTAAAGGGGTTCCCTTTAAGGCTTTAAGGGTTCCTTTAAGGGCTCCTTAAAGGTGTTCCTTTTAAGGCGTTCCTTAGGGCTTCCTTTAAGGGCCTCCTTTAAGGGTTCCTTTTAAGGGGTTCCTGTCTAGGGGTTCCTTTAGGAGTTCCTTTAAGGGATCTGTGAGAGATCCATATGAGGGCTTAGGGTGAGAAGTTATGAAGATCCATAACCAAGCATGGGTTTCTTAGTCAGGTTTCAGCATGTGTAGAATTATCATGCATACATACACATACATACATACATACATACATACATACATACATACATACATACATACATGTAATATGCGTGCTGCACACGTTGAATGCGAAGTATCAACTTATGCAGATGTACACATCTAGAGACGGGAACCTAACGGACAACAAAACCTCCAAGCAGCAACAGGCTCTCTTCTAGGGAACATCCATTCCAGATTTGGACCCGCGGGGCGGCGGGCCCCTGGAAGCCAGCACCTGCAACTCCAACCTACCAGCACACCAAATTCTTAGGCCATGCCTGCCCGGCCCGCCATCCGAGTTTACCGTCGCATCCACGCCAAGAAACGACTTGCTGCAAACAGGATAGGAGCAACTTTCGCTGCTGCTGCCGACCTGCACCAATTACTACTGCTGCTGCTGCAGCTGCACTCCGCTGCTGCACCTGCACTACTGGTGCTGCTTCTGCAACTGCACAGCTGCTGCTGCTGAACCTGCTGCTGCATTATGCTGCAGTGCACTGCTGCTCAGACCACTCATCAAGGATACTCAATTAGCTTTGGAGCCACAACGCCCTTTCCCTGGTTGTGCTGGAATCATATCATCCTGTCACCTCGTTTTTGTAGTGTAGGCTAAAGTTCAGGGCACCCCAACCCCAAGTGACTACGAGTCTGGAGCCGTTGCAATCTCAATCATGACGTTCTCAACAAGGAGCCTACACTGGATGTGCGCTTCGGCAGTGTGCTGTCGAAGCCAAAGAACAGATTCAGCACAGAAGCCACCAGCAACCTGGCGCTGGCACTGAAGCTGAAGCAAGCAAGCCAGCGAGTCCTCAGATCCAAGCCTATATTTTACAGCTCCCGACCCCTCAACCGGCGGCCAGCATACCAGTACGAGCAACAGCCTAAACGACCCTTCAAACCCTTAAACCCGATGCCCTGAACTTGAAACCCTAAACCCGAAACCC